AGGCATGATTCGCCAAGAGGTCCAGACCCGACGGACCAGAAGGGCCAGGTCCGGCGGTCCGACAGGTCCAGACCCGACGATCCGGCAGGCCCAGCCCCGACGGTCCACACAAGGTAGACCATTCGTTATGGAGTGTCTGGAACGGAAGGTCCGCCAGACCCAGACCGTATGTTCTGTTGTGCTGGAACGGACGGTCCACGTGTAAATCTGGACCGTCCGTTCCGGCCTCCAGGTTTTTCGAAAAACCACCGAAATTAGGGTTAATCACTTTATAAGAAGGTGATTAAGAACCCTAATAGAGGTGAGCCGACTTTTGACAACTTCTGCAAACATTTGGGTGATCCAAAAAGGTCTAAGAAGTGATTGAAGTCTCGTTTTCTTGAAGCAATATACTGAATAGTTGATTCGGGTCCTAGCAGACAAGTTCCAATTGTTGGAATCCATCCCGAGGTGTGGATACGTGTAGAGGGCGAGGTATCTTCCTCCCTTTCGTGGTCGGACGAACACATCAATTGATACCCACCCGGATCGATTGAGGTAAACGTTCTAATATTTCTATGATTCATACATGCATGGTTCTAGGATTTCATATAAATTTTTTATTTTACATCCGCTGCGCAAACCCTAGAGTTGATCTGTTAGGAATAGGATTCGTATTAGAGATCACAGGAATCCCAACACAACACACCATGTGAACATGTCCTATGTTGTGCGTACCTTTGATTTAGTGTCAATCTTGTTTATAACAGTGTTGAAACTCCATCTAACATTTGATTTTATGGACTGTTGGTTGTAATGCTCTAGGATGATCTGTGATATGACATTTGACTTTGTATTGATTCATTGATTTATGAATGCATTACTTTTCCCGTTATACGATTAGCATGTTTGTTGTATTTCAGCATTCTTGAATCATTAAGAATGATTCTAAACTCCCTAGTCAGTCATCGTTGTGGGAACAATGATGAATTAAGACTAGCATGAGGTGTGATCAATGCATTGGATGCAGATCACAATCATGGGTACTCGTTGTGAACGAGTGACTGGATGACCCACATGAGATAGTCACATGGACAGAGTCATGACTTGAATCTCATACAGCGGTTCGTTCTTGGATCCTCATACCTGAGATGTCTAGAGTATCTGATATGAAAAGTGGCGTGTCTTGACTGCGTCAAACGTCATCTTTAACCGGATGATTATAACGACGTTGATCAGATACGTTCACGAATTATATGGAGATAGTAGACATGCAATATGGGACTTGTCACCTCCTTAACAGGAGAGATATCGCTGGGCCCTCTCGTGGGAAGTCTGACTATGAAAATACGTGGCCACGCTATAGATGAAGTTGCATCTATTTTATTAGTCGATTTGCCAAGACGAGAAAGCGGTTGAACTTGAAGGATGGCTCAAACCATGTCCATGTTCAACTTATGATATCGTGAGACAAAGGATCAGAATTCGAGCTGTTAATGCCTTGGTTAGATCACCTCTAACTCAATTCTAAGTGGGTGGTCATGGCGTCTTGCTAGAAGCTAACCATGACTTGTGGTTCGGAAAAGGTTCCTAAAAGTCATTACCACTTAGAATGGACCTACAGGATCACACACCACTAGGGATGGACTTATACGTGAAGAATTCGAAGAATGGAAACGAGATTTGACCGAAATGAGCATGAAAAGAAGTTTTCAATGTGTTGGTCAGATCAGGCGGTCCGGAAGCTCAGTCCGAGGTCATCTGTCCAGGTCTGGTCCGGCTGACCAAGAGTTGGTCAGCCCCGGACCAGACACTGGGTCAGGCGGACCGAGGAGCGAACAAGCGGACCGAAAGAAGACCAGGAGTTTTGGTCCGGAGCTGACCAAAACTTGGTCAGTCGGACCAAGGCTCTAGGTCAGACGGTCCGAAGGCAGTTGAGTAAGCCTGGTCCGCCGGACCGGGCTTGATCAACTCCGGAACAAGTCTCCTAGTCTTCTTTCGGTCCGAAGGCAGCTGAGTAAGCCTGGTCCGCCGGACCGGGATCTGGAATTTTCCTAAAATTGGATTTAGGGTATTCTAAGCTTATTTAAGTTTGGGATTTCGTCCAAACTTAATTAAGGGCCGCCCTAAAACTCAGAGAAACATCCTAGAACCCTAGAGAACATGTTCTCTTCGATTTCTATTGTCCCGGGATTGGATCTCATCTCTTGAGTTACCCTTTTCTTCACTAATCCTAGCAGATTCGTTCCAAATCGTTTGAAATCCTTCCGGTCGGTGTGGATACGTGTAGAGGGACTGTAACTTCAGTCCTAGATGATTTAGAACAGGCCTCGGATCGAAATTAACTTCAAGTTTCATCGAGAACGAGGTAAGTAACGATTCCCTCGGTGATATACACGATCTTTCGGGTTTTACAAGTTTGGTTGCGTGTGACGTTTGACTAGGTTTAGATCTTTCTTCCGCTGCATGAAACCTAGTAAACCAAACCCTAGATCGATATGATCGCATGCTATCAACTCGTAGATATCCCAATATGGACTTCTTGCACATTCTGGGACACGTCGGATCCGCTCCCTCGATGTCTTTGTACATCCTGTTGGCACCCAAGCTTGAGATACATTCGAAAGGAAGCAACTGTAACATAATGTGTAAATATTAAATTCTAAAACAAATCAAGTAATAACGGTAATTTTAATTTATACATATAGTGAAAATCTCTTATCATAAGAGGGATTATAAACCCCTAACAGTGCCATTTTTTCTTCGGCCCTCCACTTGCGAAGCTCTTTCTTACTTGATCAATCAAATGTATAAATCTTTCACAGAAAGCCAAATCATCCACCATGTCCACCAAATCATGGTTTATAAACTCATCTATGGTGTCATGATCCAGTATTCCTCCAAGCAATATGATAACAACTAGTTTCTTCCTATCAGCAACCCTTTGAGTTGGCATCTTCTCGAGTTGTCTTATCACGCTCTCCTTCGACACCTTTTGATTTCCAAAAGTCTTCACTCTGAACTGGTTTTTTCTCATATATTTCCATCCAGTCGGATACATACCGCATTTCAATCCGGATATGAGAGCGTGCTCAACGATGGAGTATCTGATGGGCACACCATTTAGAACAAACCATAATTCCTTTCCTCCTCTACACTCACACAGTGGTTTATGACGAATGTCGTTGCAGCCATCTTCAACGTGTCATCAAATTGCATGTGAAACAAGTGTTGAAACTGTGACTCATGACTGAAATACCTCCATTCTTCAGGGCTTAACAAGTCTTTCAGTTTTTTATTGTGTCTGACGGGTAACACTTGGTATTTATCTTGGGGGAGAACTGAATGTCTTCCATTTTGTAAATAAACAACAACTACACAACAATAAAATAGATCAGATCATGTGACCTGTGACCATGTGACATAATACCATGTGACCTATTCTCCTGTGACCTGTGAGCTATTGTCCTGGTACCATGTGACCTATTGTCCTGTGAACTATGACCAAGTCACCTATGACTATCTGACCGAACCGATCCTATGACCTAATTTACATCGAACCCTATCACCTATATGACTGTGACCCAAATCAACATATCATTCATCATCCAAACATTGACCTACACATCCATATCACTCAAATCATTTCGATTTTAACCACTTCAAACCAAACATTATAATGTATCCCTAAAATTTCAAAAACAAAACCTTAAATTTCTATCCTTTCAAATCCTCACGGCAAAACATCAAGGAAACAAAAAAACTTTCAAAATCGTGCAAATCTGAGAAAAAGAGAAGTAACCTACCATGTGATCGTTTAACTCTGCAATTTGCATTCGGTTCTCGGTCTTATTCGAAGATGCCAACGAAGATTAGTGCAGACTGATGTAGAAGCCATTTTTTTTTCTTCGTTGTTCTTTGAATCTCAGGAGAGTAAAGACATAGAATTTATTCGCTGAAAATCGCGACTTAAATCTAGGAATTTTTCGGCCAAAAATCGACGGTTTCGAAAGAGAGAGTGAGAGGAGACGTCGAGAATTAGGAGAAAGAGGGAGATGTCGAGAGTGAGGAGAGATGCAAATCGTGGGCTGATGTAGGAGAGGGAACCGTTTTTCTTTTAAAAAATTTTAAATTGAAATGAGAGCTTTTTCTTCTTTTTAATGTCTGATGGTTTATACGTCTTTGTATCACTTCTCCCATTTTTTTTAATTTGAATTTTCGACGGTATAGAGAAAAGTCTATGTACTGTCAAATGGTACTTCAGATATATCTCTTTTAAAAGAAAGTAAAAGCAATTCCAACAATAATATGCTGCGCCAAGAAATTAGTGATGATAATTATTAGGATTTAGTAAAAATAAAATTTCTCAATTTTTTATATCGTTATATACAAGTTTTTTTTATTAATTGAACAGTAAAGTTTTAAAACGAACCATATATTTTGATTTTAAGTTTATCAGTAGATTCTTATACCTCTCCCAAAATTATTATAAAATCAAATGAGAAGTTATTAAATGATTAATTCAAAATAAAATGATAAGAATTAAATGAAAAATTTTAATATAGATTAATGAGTAATGTAAAATGAAATGATAAAAAATAATAAAATATAATTATGCCCGGAGAGAGCGATGTTTCACTGAAAACTATTATATATATATATATATTGAAATATGAATGTTTATACTTGCATTCGCCATTTATGGGGGCTGTAATTCTAATTTTTTTTATTATTCAACCCATACGCAAAAATAAAAAGTATTGTCCAATTTTAAACTACATTAAAACAAGATCTTTTTACTAATGACAGAGTTTTCAAAACAATTGAAATGTTCATTTTTAAAGTCTCATCGATATGTCCATCCAACAAATTTAGAAGAAAACATTCTACACCATTACACAACAGAAATAACGGCCAAAACCGCCTTAGCTTTCACCGCTCTTTCCTCCGTCTCTGGCGTTTTGTAACGCAAACGCTAGTCACCAAGATGAACTGCTTCAAACTATGCTCGGAGGATCCCCGACCCAGTTGCACGTTGCACGAAGCCAACGTGTCCTGATGCAGTCCACGAGCGGAGCATGCTGAGACGGTTCGGGTTGGTTCACTTCCGAATCCTTCCCGGCCGCACCCGAGCTGCTCGGCATTGCCATGTACTCTTCCGGTGTCCACTTTGGAGGAACCGAGACCCTAAGCCTCGTGAGCCGAGGCCTTTGAGCTGGAGCCTCACCTTCAACGATCATGGCTTGACTGCCGCCGTTTATGTCCGATTTCGCGATCCCGTTGAAATGGTAAAGTTCGAAAACCTTCTTCCCCATCACACCCGTCGAATCCTTAAGCCCACCCAGTTGCCGATCCAACTCCAAGATCGCTTGCCAGAACTCGCTCCACACGATGAATCCCGAGGCGCAGAGGTTATCGAGCTTCTCGGGCAGGAGCCTTACGTTCGTTTCTTGAAGAACTTGACGGAAGGCTTCGACACTTATGAAACCTCCTCCCCCGCTCTGGTCTTGGGCATCGAAGGCTCTTCTTATCTGGGATTCCCTCTGCTCGAGCTCGTTCTCATCCTGTACTGAGGTATCGAGGGCGAAAAGAACAGTATAATGCGACTCGCTTCCCACTACCCATATCGGCCATTTTGGGCATTTCAGATTCTGACCCACTTTGCAGAAATTTAGGGATTCGAGCAAAGTGAGGAACCCTACTTCCACGGTCTTGGAAATGCCCTTCAGAGACATGCCTCCTCCTAAATCCATTCTCCCATCAAACACGTTTGGTACGGCTTCCCCACATAACAGCAAGTTCACTATCTCCTACTCGAGAGGAACATAAACCATATCAGCAAAATCCAACCAAAACCAGAAGCAGTCACTTTCAAAATATCTAATCGAGAATGTGTTTGGTTTTACCTGGGATGCATGCCCAAATGGCGCAGTTACTAGCGGTAGGCTCGGGTCGTCCCTGTCAGCTTGAACGGACTCCTGCAAAAAAAAAGGGTAAAACTTTTTGGTTCATTAGAATATCGATGTGGTTATATTCTCAGATGGGTACAGCTCAAATGCTACGATTCGATTATCGAGCTAAGAAAATTGCCGATTAACTCAGTGATAGAACAGAACTTCAATCCTCAATCCTCAACACGCATTCGAGGCAGAAAAGGGGGAACCTTTGACCCGAGCTAGAGGGTTTCGGCAAAGAATCTACGTAAAATTTATGCTATGCAGATTTATTCGTGTTACTTTTGGTCAGATTTGGTAGTCACAGCAGATTAAACTTGCCTTTTCCCCTTGTGATTTCTTTCCCATTTCATGCTTTTACTCTTTATGGTTTTTGTAACCTCCATAAAAGGAGGCACGTTAACAGATGAAAAGAAAACCCGACAAATTTCTCGAGAAAATTTGCAGATTTTCAATCTCACGACGATATACAGAAACCCAACTTTTCTATCATAATTCAGATCCAGTATCGGGAAAATATTGGCCAGTCAGTATAAAAACACCCCACGTCGTATAACAAACAAAAGAGAGAAGAATCGAGATGGTGTTAATACCAGTCCACGAGAGAGTAAGGCGGAAATTAGGAATAGCAATGCGCCCATACGACTTCTGAACACCGGAATTGTAGCTTCGAGCGTTCTAAGAGCACTAGCCTGAGTTGTGAATGTACCGATTCTTACGATCTTCTGCAAATCTGAAACGGACTCAATCGAAAGTCCTTCAAGAGCTTTTGCAATTGCCTGAAACACTTAGATCGACACTTTTGAGAATAAGAACCGAATACAACGAGAGACATTTAAACAAATTCTTGAGGCAAAGCCGATATCTGCACCAAATACAAGTAAAAACCGCTCAAAGTTCGACTGACCTCATCTTTCTCATTGTCACCAGAGCCCTCAATATCAGGAAGAGACGCGACAACAGCTTGTTTATTGTTTCCACACATAAACAGAATCTCACACATGCTCTTAACCAGAGCCCTGAACAAAGGGAAATACAATGACAAATGCGACGGAATTTAGTTGCAAGTTGTCGGAAACTGGCATGTGAAAGTTACAGACTATTATCATATCTATTGAAAATGGAAAAAAGGAGTCACCTTGTTTTCACTTCGTCAGATACAGAGGAGAAAGAGTCTGATGCAACATAATGGCTTTTCGATAATCTCCTGAGACCCGTGTTCGAGGCAGATTTGCCCAAATCTTCCGGAAAGAAAAGCAAGTATTTGAGAACAAATGCCTACAAAGCAAACAGAGGAATCGGCAACAACTGTATGATGTTCGAATGCTTAGCAATTAATTGTTGAACGATACTATACGCATTGTAAGCAAACATAACAGAGCCTGAACCCGGAAAACAGGTGACCATGATTTATCAGAATACGAAGGAAATTGAGAGAATTACTTGTAATGTTGCTAACACACCACACGGCCCCCCTTCATGCTGCACTAGGCCCATCGAAGTTTCTGGAGCAGGGCTGAACCTATAGGAATTTCGTCGTAGCATTAGTCGAACCCATGCAAAATTAGGAATCCTTCATTATAATCGGAAAATCAGCCCAACCCATGGAAAACCGAATTGAAAAGGGGCCGTTACCCATATGAACAACAATATCTAAGTCCATTTAACGAAAATTTACTGAACATCAATATATGGTAATGGGGCTGGTATGCAACAAACGTATCCAGTTTCTAAAGTCCAGAGTCATCTAAATCATTTATTAAGATTTAACATATCCGGCATTATCAAGTTCAGTCCATGATCATATGAAATTTGTCAAAGAAGACAAAAACAATAGAAGAGCATGACATTTGCTGTTGCTTCACTCTTCTGAAAGTATACTTCTAATGTCTCTTCCGCAGTCATTGCCATTAAAATCCGATGGCAATGTCTGCGACAATCACTTTTTTTTCAAAAAATGTAAGTTTGGTACCGTTGCTTACCGTTTCAATAGATTCCATTACTAGCCAGTAACTAAATTCATTACTAGCCGTTAACTAACACTCATCTTTTAGGACAGGAGGAACAAACCACTATATATTATCACCATGAAGAATAACATATCTTTCATCTTCTTGATTCAAATTCGAAATTTGAATTTGAGAAAATAGCCGAATCGAAACCCCTTTTCCTCCTCCGCAAAGAGAAAACCACATAATCTTGAACTCAATAGATAGAAAAAAAAATCAATAGTAGAGACCGCAAAAATCGAAATTCCAAGATTACTGATTTCACATGAATATGCAATTTCACTGATATCAGATACACAAAGGGCCTCGAATAAGCACATAAATTGAATCCAAATTCAGTATTTTTCATCAACCCTAAGCAAAGAATCAAACTGAAAGCTCAAGGGAAAAACTAATCTCATACCTTATACCCTGATTAGTCCACTGCGTAAGTATACCTTTGGAGACATTACCCCCAAACACAATCACGAACAACTCGTTAGCTTCTTCCGGGGACAACTCTCTCCCAAAGCCAGTGTCTCCAGATCCCAACTCATTGTCTTTTTTCACAACCTTGGCACTCATATTAGCAGCCATCGAAGACGAAGCCTGAACTCTAGACTCAGCCGGAGAGCTCTTCCCCGAGGCCAGCATCCGTTTCTCCGCAGCAGCCGCCATGAGCTCCCGCTGCAACCGGCGGCTCTTCGTTTCCGGCGACTCGTCCCGTGACCCACCTGCCAGCGATCCGGATCCGGATCCTTCTCTGGGCTTGCTCCGCTTCGGCTCCGGCGGAGTGTGCTGCATACTCATCTTTAGGGCCAATTTCAGGTCCTCGTCCTCTTGCCGATCCGCCATTGAAGCTCCTCCACAACCACAACTGACACTCACCCGGATCCAAAAACTCCGGATCGAAGCCCAAAAAGTGAAGCTTCCGTTTCGAATCCGCTACTACAAAGCAAACTTTGATTTCTCCGCCATACCATATATTTAATGAATATGAATGAATCAGATTAGCAGAATCAGAAAGGATCCAAAACCCAATCCGAGCCTGATTGGGAAAAATCAACAGTTACCACTCATAAAAGGGAAAATCATAACTCAATTCGTAAACCCTAACCAGCGAAGACTTCGAATTTTGATGGGAATCGGAAACCTAAGAAGAAACAGATTGCGATTCTCGATTTCGGACAAGAGAATAGGGCAAAGAAAGCCGAAGAGGAAAGGAATCCGCTATTTCAAATTACCAGTAGGGTTAAAATCGTCAATGACAAATTAGACCGTAGAAAACGACACCGTTTGAAGGAATAGTGAATCGGTGGTGTGAGGGAGACACGATGAAAATCTATATATATTAATAAAGGAGTTTAAAGAGTTGTGGTGAAGCCACCTCATCATCCACATCATCATCCATGTGGCATTTGTTTTATTTTTATTGATTTTTAAAAACATTCAATGGTTAATAAAAAACTCATTAGTTATATATAATTACAAAATATTATATTATTATAATTAAAAAATAAAAAATGTTCTTTATTATATTAAAAAAATATTAATAGATTAAATAGAAAATTCAATTTGTATAGAATAGATTATAGTTGAAAAATTGAAAATATTAATAGATTAAATGGAAAATCCAATTTATATAAAATAGATTATAGTTAAATTTATTTAACTAAATTAAAAAATTATCTTTACTGTATAAGAAAGAAATCTTTCTATTGAAATAAATTTTAAATTTAAATAAATAAAAATTATCTTTACTATATAAGAAAGAAAGCGTTCTATTGAAACAAATTGAAAATTTAATTGGCTTTCAAAACCATAATTTTAATTTATTATATTACATGTAATTAAAAATAATTAAAATAAAAAATGGACAAGACTTAAAACGTGCGTATTGATTAGTCCATCAAGAAGCATTATTACCGTAATCACTGCGACAAGAAGTGGGAGTGCGATGAGTGTTCTAAGCGTTTCAACGTTCAGGCCGACTGGGAAGTTCAATCGAAGACTTGTGAACCAAAGAGTATGATGCGATTATGGCAGTCTCTTCTCTCAGCAATTAAAACACTAATTCACCCCTCACTCTCTCTTATAAATTAATATTTTCCGTTGCTTATGCGTACATTAATCAGCCATTTTAATTGCGTCTACTTGGATATATACGTATATTAATTAGCCATGTACATCAATGAGGTAATCTCATCGTATTGAAATTTTATACTTTTTCAAATAAAGATTTAAAATTAAAAAGATACATTTTAAAACGGAATGGAAAACGTAATATGTTAGTGGTGATTTAATTTAGTGTCAATCAAAACAAATGTTAATGTTGATATTAATTACCATTTTATGTTATGGTGTATTGAAGTTAAATGCTAATATTAATTATTCCAAAGTATGAAACAACATTATAAGTATCTACTCCAAAATGACCTCACACTGATCTAGAACAAAAGCATCTTAAATAACCAAATTTAGAGGGAGGGAGAGAGAGAAAACATGAAAATTGTGTACAATCCCAGATGATGTTCCTTTTCCAACCTAAGGTTGTGAAACGCTCAACAACGTTTTATGCGGTACGTTTATTCATTTTGTATATACACATGTTTTCGCGTATACGCATATTTTTTAATCAATTAAAAAAAAAACCACGTAAGGGTAAAAATTATTATTAGAGTAAAGGTAAGTCATGGTCACGTCGTCTCTAAATCTCAGCTTCCTCTTCCAATAGGCTTTGGAATAACCGAAGTTTTTTGGTTAAAAAAACTCCCAAGGTAGAGACGTCGTCCATGTGAATCGTCAGGTTTGTGAAGATCCTAAATCTTTCTTTTCTTTAAACAAATTAGTATTTTGTTTAGCATTGGATTGATAATGCAGGAAATGATCGAGAAAACAGCAGAATGCTACTAGCCAAGCTCCTCTTACAGATCACGGCATATCAGATCTTGAAGGAAAGAAATCAAAGGATCTTCTCCGGCAAGCGGGTACCAAATACTGTTTTGCGGGATCATATTGACAGAATTATGAGGAACACCCTACTATCCACTAAGCAAGTTGATCCACGAGACAATGCTTCTTCACTTGAGCATTGGTTTTACCTTTCTGCACGCATCCGATCGCAGCTGTATCGGACATAATTTTGAAACTTCTCTTGTAACATGTGACATGGTATCCCATTTTGTACAGCTACGGCTGGTTTTGTAATCTAACTTTTATATTTATATAATATTTACCTTTTTACCAAAAAAAAATTAGTATTTTGTTTTATATATCATTGATACTATATATATAATTGGACTGCTATTTTGAAACCTTTTCCTCTTTGGATTGGAAAGCAGGAAATCATGAAAATTGTCTCCGTTCATATATGTATCTTTTGTTGTTCTTTAATAAAGCAGTTTAATGTCATATTCACTGTATGCTTGATGGTGTCAAAAATGTATTTTGGTATTTATGAGTTTTTTAAGCTCATAACACAAAAACAAAAATCTCTATCAAAATTCCTTTTCTTCCATGTGAGCCCGTCTTTTTTGGTATATTTGTCTTCTAGATCATCATTGTAGTGTTGAACTATATAACAAAGGATCAAACGTCATTCGCCATAGAGAGCTACAAAATTACCACCATTTGAGTAAAGAGAATGGCGTTAAGAAGCCCTCTCGAGCAAAAAGAACAATGATGATGAATCGTGGAAGCGGGAGTTTGACAAAGACGAAGACAAGGTTTAGTGCTTTGTTTCATTATAACGAGAGTAAATAGATAAATAAATGATATTTAGTGGAATAAACATTTAAAAAGAAAATTAAAACAAAATAACGTTATTGTGACTAAGATGCTAAAGTGTCATCGAAACATGTGGTAATTTTTTAAAATTTTTATCGATTTCTTATCATCTTTTACAATCAAAATTATAATTATTATTATAATTAATTTTTACACATTTATATATAATAAGATTAACACTCATTTTTACATATAAAAACGGTGAACTAATTTTTACATATAAAAAATAGGTGACAAATATAATAATTGAAAATATCAATAGATTATTATAATTAAAAAGACAAAAAATTAACTTATAACATATAAAAGTTTATTTTGATCTTAGTTTTTTTTTATTTTCTTATATTTATATTTAAAATCTATTTTAAAACCTTAAAAAAGAAAAATGTAAGTAGATTATTATAACAAAAAGTAAAAAGTTTATCTATTTTATATAAAACAAAAGAAACGTTCTTTTTAATGATAGTTTTCTCAATTGTCATGGGTTTATGTAAACCTTTTATTAGTTGAAAATTTCCTATAAATTATTATATTTAAAATATAAAATAAAATTATACTAAAATTTATTGTTGTCAAAAGTATTCATTAATTCAATGATAAAAAACGGGGAATAGTCTACGATTATTTTGGAGTAAATGAAATTTATTGTGGATTACTTAGTGGAATTAAAAATTTATAATAAATCTGTCAACACCGTTCTTTCGTTTGCTCGATAATAAAATAAACGTGATCAGAAGTATTCATTAGTCGCTATTAGGTGTCTCTAACGGCACCAGAATGTTCTCAAAGGTCAAAACTTTCCGTATAAATAAAGCGATTTCACTCCCTCGATTGTCAAATCTTCATCTAGATGTTCAATAAAATCAAACGAAGTAACCCGACAACAATTTGATTCCACGTCAATCTCGGTTTCTTCGACCAATCCCCATGAAAACCCTCCAAAACCTCTCGCTCTCAGCCGATCCGTCGGTGCATCAACAAACCCACTCGGACGTGATGCCCAGACACCACCGCTCATCGTGGCGGGGTGACATCTACACAGATATTGAGAGACTGTCCAAAGAAGGAAGTCAATCTCAGTGAGGAGAGGACAAACCTTCGTCGTCGGAAAAAGGCGCGAATCAGGCAGCGTTCGGTCCGAAGTTACGGTATCCGACATTCATCGTCGGTCGTCTCAGAGTCAACGCGCACGAGAAGCTGATCGAGGAGGCTCTTCGCACTGGAGGGGTCAACCGGGCACGCAGTGTTGATGCTGCAGCCGGACGGATAGTACTCGATCATCATTGTCGGCAGGGCAAACACGAATTCGTGGATAGAGAATCTGAGTAATGATGATTTCAAGGTCGTGAGGAATGTTGGGTTGTTCTTCAGCAGAGAGAAATCCCTGATTTTGTGAATATTCAAATTGCAAAGGTGAATGCTTTGGTCACTAATCACATTTTACTTTGTGAGTTCGCTTAGTAGTGCTAAATTTTTTTAAAAAATCGTTGTTTGTCTCTGCTTTCTAAATTTATGCCGCTCATTTTCCATATCATCTTCAATACACATTTGTATCAGAAACTAATGGAGATGAATAATTTTAAGTTGTTATTAATAGAGATGGATTTTGTAACGGTACGATTACATATTTGTATGTAAGACATGATTTTAAGTTGTTACCAGGTAGATTTTGTATCGTATTACGTGTATATATGTGTATCTAGACATAATTCAACAGCTTTCATAATTTGGTACATGATTGTGGCTAATATATATTCGAAGTATAAAATGTTTTAATAGTAATTTTTTATCTTAAACTTTATAATTTCACATATACAATAATAGATGTGAAAATTTAAGAAAAATATAAATTGTATGTATATATGTATCTCTCTATATACAAGAGATCATGTGCCGTTATGAAATTTAAATAAAATTATGGTATAAAGTTCACTCTTTTCTTTTTAAAAATATAGTGTTCAACACATTTATATATTATATATATATATGTGACGATGGCAGATTTTATAACTCTTATTAATTTATTAAATTCTATAGAATAAAAAATCTATCAATTATTATGTTGATAAATGTTTTACAAATTAAATTCTAAATGTAACGTTGAATACACCACCATCACTATATATCCACTAATAAGCTATTATTAACAAAATTCAAGTGCATTCACACATATACACAGAAAAAATGCAAATGTTTGATTGTTTTTTTTAACAATATAGACAATATAAAAATATCATTGCCCATGTCGGAGATTTCAGACTATCGAGGTTTCTTTACAAAATCGACCAATCGGAAAAAAGCAACAGCATAGGAGTCCAAGGTTCCATAGGTTACATTGCTCCAGGTATGATCCATATGATTCTTCTATTACACTTTATGTGTTACCTTGCTTTGCATGTTATCATTTTAAATCCGATGATTTCAT